GCAGTAGCAAGTAGCCGAATTTGTACCCCGCTTGCTTCCTGAACAAAATCGAGTTTTTGACAAAGTATTAGGACAAAATGAATCTGGAAATGGTCCACTTTTCATTTTAGATGCCCCTGGTGGAACTGGGAAGACATTTTTGTTAAATTTATTATTAGCGCAAGTACGCAAAGATAAAAACATTGCTGTGGCCGTAGCTTCCTCCGGTATAGCCGCCCCGATGCTAAGCGGGGGCCGCACTGCACATTCTGTTTTAAAACTCCCTCTAAATCTAGCCCAGGAAGAAGCGCCGATCTGCAACTTTAGCAAAAATAGTGCACGAGGTATAATGCTACGACAATGAAATTTTTTAGTGTGGGACGAAAGTACAATGTCGCATAAAAAAGCTGTAGAAGCACTAAATCGAACGCTCCAGGATTTGCGCAGCCATACTGATGTAATGGGAGGAATGGTGGTTTTACTGGCTGGTGACTTTCGCCAAACTTTACCTTCATTCAAGAGGGCACACCTGCAGATGAAATTAAAGCATGCCTCAAGTCGTCTATTTTATGGAACAAGGTGACAAAATTCAGTTTAACTACGAATATGAGAGTGCATTTGTATAATGATATCAATGCTGGAAACTATGCTGAAACACTATTAAAAATTGGCGATGGGCGGTTTGAAACGGATGCTGAGGGCTGCGTTAAATTGACGAGAGATTTTTGTAATTTAGTACAGAGTCATTCCGAATTAATTGCAAGCGTTTAACGAACAACATGCATGAGGACAAATGTGTAAGGGCGATTCTTGCACCAAAAAATGAGAGTGTTAACAAAATAAATTCATATATATTAAGCGAAGTAGCAGGAGAAATAACAGAGTATTTGTTAGTAGACACAGTTATGGACACAGAACAGAGCACTTTATATCCCGCAGAGTTTCTAAATTCTCTAGAGTTGTCAGGTGTGCCCTCACATAAGCTTCAATTAAAATTAGGCGTCCCAGTCATGCTAATGGGAAATTTAGATGCTCCTCGGTTATGGAACGGGACAGGGCTGCGTGTGACACATCTTGGACGGAACATAATCGGTGCTACAATTTTGACAGGCGTTGGAAAAGGTGAAAATGTTATTATACCACGGATCCCTATAATTCCCACAGATCTTCCTTTTCAATTCAACAGGTTGCAGTTCCCTATTAAGCTCAGTTTTGCAATGACAATTAATAAAGCGCAAGGGCAGACGTTACAGGTAGCGGGGGTCAACTTAGAAAAACCGTGCTTCTCTCATGGTCAGCTGTATGTAGCATGTTCGCGTGTGTCAAATGCCCAGAATCTCCACATTCTTTCCCCGAATGGAAAAACATATAACATTGTGTACAGTAGCGTCTTAAAATAGTGTTCAGTTAGTTTTTTTTCCAAAATTCCCACAGATCTTCCCTTTCAATTCAAAATTTCCTATTTAGCTCAGTTTCTTTTCAATTCCAAATGCTGCACCTCTGACGGACCTATTAAGCTCAGTTTCCTTTCAACTCAAAAGGCTGCATCTCTGATGGATCTTTTATTATGCTCAGTTTCCTTTAAAAAAAATATCCCATTTCAATTGGAATAAACAGGCTATTTTCATGCTTTCCTATACGCTGCGTTTCAAAACATTTAAATAGGCTGACGAATCAATTTTGCTCAGTTTCCTTTTAATGGCTGCCAAATCTCTGACAAATCTATAAAACTCAGTTCTCTTTCATTTCAAAAAGCAATGGATAGTTCATTTCCCAGTGACCATGCGGGCAAAGCCGCGAGTAACAGCTAGTACTTAATTATAAAATCTAAACAAAAAATAAAAATCAGTTCGGCAGACAAACCCGAATGGTTAATTAACTTATCGACAGGTAAAGTTGTGGCGTACATCACTACATTACAGTACTTTCGGTTGCAGTGATACCAGTTCATTTTACAAAAATTGCATACTTTTGCTACGAGATGTCAAATGTAGATTCAATTGGCCATTATTTGTATAATATTTTGATAAATACTCGTTATCGATTAAATTATAATATTTTCAGAATCGTGTTGAGATTGATCTTTTTAAAAAAAGTCCTGAGTCAATTTCGAATCTTGACTGGCGTAGCCGGTAGGATTTCGCGTGTAAAGCTTGCTCATGTAAGAAGACTCCCAAATCAGTCCTCGTGAAGTAGTTTATGGTGCCGTCTTGCACTTGCGCGAAGTCTACGAACCGAAATATAAATTTGTCGAATTCGAATCAGGACATCAAAAAAGAAGACTTCCTAGCCCAGGCGGAAGGATGAGTTCGAGTATACTGTGAGTCAAATCTTGTCACGTCCATTTCTGTTCCCATCTATTTTTGCTTGCTAGAATTTTAGTGTTATTTGCTTAAATCGAACAAAGTAAATTTAAATTATTTAATAATTAAATATTAAAAATTAATTTTAAATAAAGAAAATTCATTAAATTGTGTTATAAAAAATAAAATTTACATAATTAAACAAATAAAAGGATATATTAAAGAAATAAATGTAATAATAATATAAATTGTTAAATTAAAAATGGAGCAATTACATTTAATACCCAAAGATTTACTTTGTCTTGAACCTAAGTTTGAAAGACAGGTCTTTCGCAGACCCTAATAATGCCACACAAACATTATATGTATTCCATGCGATAAGCAGCTTTCGGCGTTCCACGTGTCGTTTTGATGAAGGTGCTCCGTCTTTTTTATAGAATTTTATATTTTTGTCTCGACTAAAAACGAAAGTATTATACTTTTTTATATTCCTTGTAATATAGTAAACACGTAGATATGTAATTTGTGGTATAAAAAGTGAAAAGTAAATTGCCAAAAGTACTTCAAAATCCGGAAACTCCGTTTTGGCGGGTGGGTCATAAATGTGTTATTTTTCAAATTCTCATTTATTTTTAGTGTAAAATGTAAGTAAAAATAGTTTTCCTACATATTTCAAATAACATGACGTTGTATTTATTTCAAATTCACACAAACATATTTTAGAAATATTGTTCGAAATGTCACACAGATAAAATATTATTATTTTTAAATTTTTTAATATTTTAATATTTTGGTATGAGTAACGAATGGAAACACATAAAACGTAAAAATATACATATTTCCAAACATTTTCATATAAATTTCTCCAAAAACAAAAGTGTAGAATTCAAATTAGTAGTAATTTTGTCACTAAAATTGAAGTATATACTACTACTATGCTATACAGGGTAATTTATGTATTTTATTACAATTTCTAGCAACCAAAAATAATTTTATTCGATAGTTTATACACTCAACAAAAAAATCCTGTAAGTTTTATCCATAAATATTGTCTCAAAGTGAAAATATAGCAAAATTTGCAATATAGCAAAAATTTTCCTAACTTACAAATTTTCCCGCCATTAAGGTCCTGAGGGAACGGGAGTATAACATGTCGCGCGCTGTCAGAGCTAACGGGCAGGTAGAGCAGCAAATTTGTTAAGTGAGTGTGATGATAATAATAGTTGGAACACTTTTAAAGATATTTTTATTCAACATTTTGGCGATCCACGTTCGGAAGATTACATAGCTATCGAGTTAGAACAAATGAATATTAAGTCTGGCGATTCATTTATCGATTTTTGTCATAGGATACAACATATGCGTAGTACCTTATTCGTAAAAGTCAATCTAATACAAGATGAAGAAGTAAAAGCAGCTAAAATGATAGTGTATAATAATATGTCACTAAATGTATTCCTTTATAATACGAAGCCTCCTTTAAAGTCGAAAAGCTGGGCTTGCCTTATTAAACCTGAATCTATCAATAATATCAATCAATAATATCAACTAATAAAATAACTCGTAAAATGTTTCAAGCTATTTTAAATTTCCCGCGCACTCCACTGTTCGACACATGTCGACCGATGACCTCGTATTGCCTTAGCGATACTGCTGCTGTCATAAAAAATGAGTTTTAATAGAGCTAATAGTTGTCTCCCTCGCTGGCGTGGGCTTTTTACGGGGCTTTTGAAAAGACGATCACTCTCTTTCTAACCTATGGAAAAATATTCTATAATGAAATATAACTACGATTGTATATATAGCAATTAGTATAGAGATTTAAAGCCAGGCTTATGGGAATAAATTTCTTAAAAGTGGAGGCGCGCGGGCAATACGTTTGCAAGTTCAGTTCTCGTTTCAATGTTTATTTACTCTGTGTGCTTATCTTAAGCGATTTAATATTACGAGTTCAAAAGTTATGCTTTTTTAAAGATTTTTAATGAAAATGGAGGATAATAGTGTTCCTTGTGATGAATTGAAGTGTGTTAAAGTGATGATCGGAGAGGAAATAATAATAATAATAATAATAAAATTGCCGTATTACAAGTACTTGCCGGAAGCCGTGCTCGAAAATGATCGCGCCAGGCTCTATTGTGACCGGGCCATCATCACAGACAGGACTATTCTTGCGAATAAGCCTGATATTGTGCTGATGGACCGGGCACAGTCAAGGATATTTTTGGTCGACATTACCATTCCGTATGACGAGAACCTCGTGAAAGCCGAAACAGACAAGCAAACAAAATATCTGGACCTGGCTCACGAGGTGACCGACATGTGGGGTGGTCTGCCGACCGAAATTATTCCTGTAGTCGTCTCTGCAAACGGGCTAATCCCAGTCAGCCTCTCGGGTCATCTGAGGCGGCTGGGACTACGTGGCGGACCGCTCCAGGTTCAAATGCAGAAGGCGGTGCTCCTCGATACCGCCCGCATCGTCCGCCGGTTTCTTTCCCTTTCCCCCTAACCCTCGGCCGTTTGGTCTCCCCTGCCGAGGGCCTCCATCTGGTTGGGCTTTTACTTATTTATGTACTTTTATATTTATTTTATGTTATTGATATTTATGTATATTTATCTTTTCATTTTCATTTATAATTATATATTTATAGAACCCAACCAGATGAGAAAACTATATAGATACCCCATAATAATAATAATAATAATGTGCGCATCGTCAGGATGGCGTTTGCTGGGACAAATGTCAGTTTGTCCCAGCCGGATATAACGCAAAAACTGACGGAGCGCATAGATGATCTGAAGCTGAGAATCGCTGCTTGGGGAAAGCGGATTCGGCGATATACCGAGAGGTCGACGCGGTTCAATAAGAATCGTCTCTTCCAGAGTGATCAGAAGAGGCTCTATGAATCATTGGAGCGACCAATGGTAAGTGGAACGGGTCCAGCACCGAATCAGGCCGACACTGTAGCATTCTGGCGCGGCCTGTAG